CATCTTATTGATTGAAAAAAGTTGGGCATCAGACAAACTATTTCTGTTAAGGTATATCAAAAATGTTTTATTTATACTTAATACAGGTATGTACTCTACTTGCTATTGCATTACTAAACTACTGTATCTCCAATCAAACCTATTACTGTTTACTGTGTAGTAACCTCTGTATCTCAGAACCTGTCTATCTTCAATTTTATTTTCTTGTTTCACAAGATTTGAGATGGACAGCTTCAACTGTACATTTTTTTAAAACAAGATAAAAATAAAATATTATTAGGGTAAATATACATATTAAAACCACAGGTGTGAATATAAAACACCTATGTTGGAATTTAACAACTTTTTAATATTGTTTAGGGCCATGCCTATAGGCATTGGAGTCAAATGTTAATTTTTTGCATCAGATTCTATAACGTGAGTGAGGAGAAAAAATGTTTGTGAAGAAACTAATCAGTCTATTATTTGGGACAATTCTCAGTTTGTTCATCATTGAATTTATGTTTCTTTTTTCTTATTTAAGATAGGGTCAATGCCATGGAGATCAGTAACTTTTATAATTCTGTTCTATTGGTTATGGTGATACTTGACATAAGTCACATCTCCATTAATCTAATTCCATTATCAGCAAGGCTTAATCAAAATTTAAGCCTTGCTGATAATGGAATTGGTCTCCTAAATATAAAATGCATATTTACATTGGTATCTATAATAGAATCCAAATAGGCAGTGTCAGGAAGTACTGACACTTATCATAAACCTTAGAATACAAGAATGCATAATTCTTGAGAAACAGGTGATCATCTTTTAATGAAATAATCTGAAAAATTCCTCAAATTTAAATCATTATTGATTTTTGGTAATTTGATTAGTAGCAGCTTAATCCCTAAAAAAAAAAAAGCTAACTTTAGATTAAGGTTTTCTTTAGTTCCTTTAAAAGTAATTACAAAATATTATTATAAATTCAAACTGCAAACTAAAACCATACAGAAATAGTTTGCAAAAATTTTAATATCCTTCAGAGAATATTAACAATGAAAAATATGTTTGGATAAAATTCTTGTTTTCATTAGAAATTCATGGAAAAACAAAATACTTGAACAACAATATTAAAATTTAATTAAAAATTTATCTAAAATGACAAAAAACAAAGGAAATCAGACAAAGAAAAATACAATATCAATTGTGTTAAAAAAAGGAATAATGCCCAAATCATAGGAAACATAACAAATGTAAAATAACTTAAAGATTTAACTCTAAGGACAATGAAATTTTGGAATCAAATAGATGAATACCTATTTCCAAAGAAATTAGTTTTTTTTTTTTTTTTTCATTTCTCTTCAAGCCATGATAAATGAAGTTATTCAACTTTTTCTGTTATTATAAAAAAAAATAAAACTTACGAGGAGTGCTCTGAGGAGTTGATGGACTGCCACTTGTAGCTTGTCTATAATTTGCTTGTAAAGCCATTTAAACTATCAAAACTTCAAAGATGTAACTAATAAAAGTCTTAATGACCAAAATCTCAATTTTCCTTAACCTAGTTAAAAATTTAAAAGTATTTTCATTTAGTAAATCATTTTTATTTATAAAATACAGTATGTTTAGAAATCAATATCAAAACACGATATTATTCAACAATCTAAACCTCCTTTAGCATACTGACAGCAAAAACATTAACATTACAAATTCCTTTGAAATTCTAACTCAAATAAACAAAACCAAAAACTAGAATATTTAAAAACTAGCTTTAAAAATTTATGAAGAAATAATGGAAACAAAAACATATTCCTTATTCCTTTTCAAATATATTTAATAACCAAAATTATGAACTTCATTTATTCTCATGACAATTTATTATTGTAAAATAATTTTTATATGAATCTCAAAATACAGTGATAAATAACAAATCAAATTACATTAAGTTCATTATTTTTAAACAAAAATCTTTTGACTGAAAAATGATTAAGAGCTATTAATGTTTTTGAGAAAATTTCAAAAAAGCAAAACATGAAAAAATTTTTCTGCTTCTTTCTTCTTTAAAAAACAGAACATTTAATCATATACACCAACTGGCCAAAAAATTAGAGATAGCCGTTATTTGAAAGTAAACCAGTCCGACAGTGACATAGAGTGACATAACAAGACAGAGCTGCTTATATAAGGAATACTCAGCTTTAGATGATATAGTTATCACAGAAGTTAATAGTGAGGTTGAGGCTGAAGTTTTAAACGCGAAAACGTGTATGTTGGACGTTCAGCGCCACTTTCCTGTAAGCCTAGAAGTTAGACAAAAGTGTTTGGAATGTCGAGCATGATTCCACTGACTATCCAAACACCATTGTCAAACTTCTAGGCTTACAGGAAAGCGGCGCTGAACGTCCGACATACACGTTTTTGTGTTTAAAACTTTGGCCTCAACCTCACTAATGTCAAAATGGGTAAGATGAAAGATTTAAGTGACTTTGAACCAGAGATGATTGTTGGTGCAAGAAGAGCTGGTGCCAGCATCTCTGAAACCACAACTCTTTTAGGATTTTCTTGCCCAACAGTATCTCAGGTGTTTAGAGTGGTAGCTGAGAAAAAAAAAAAAAAAAACTTCAAATTACATGTAAATTAGGAAAATAAACTGAAAGATTATTTTTATATAAATTTATTTTTTTACTCAAATTTAGGACTAGAATATATAGTAAGTACTTAATACTACAGTCAGTATTACAGTCTTTATAAAATATCATCTCTCTTAACCTGTGGATGACTAATTTGAATTTTTTTTTATTTCTAAGAGCAAAGGAATAATATAAAATGTAAAAACTTTACAGAAAATTTAATAAAACCATATAAATACCATTTTCTAAAATAGTTACAAGGGTTGTTCAAAAAACACCAAACTTTTGCTATAAAAACCCTTTTACTTATGTAGTTTATTAGATCTTGTCCCCTTGAAAGTAGTGGAAATATACTGTACCACTCCAAATAATTCTTCCACAATTGGTAGGAAAGTTTCTTTCACATTTTCTTTTATCTTCTTTGTGGTTTGAAACAACATTCCTTCAAGGTTGTTTTCAAGTTGAGAAATAGGAAAATCTGCTTGGCCCATGTCTGGAGGTAATCATGTGGGCAGAGCACATTGAATGTCTTGCATCTTGCCAGATAACTGTAGATCAGGAATGATGCATGAGTCAGTATGTTGTCATTGTGCAATAACCAGGTATGGTTTTTCCACAATTCAGGCCTCTTCCAATGCACAGAATCTCAAAACTTTTAGGTAGAACTTTGTTGAAAGTCTGATCATGCTTTTCAAGATCTTTCATTTTCCAACAGATACTACATGCACATATTCATTCAAATGGTCATGGATCAATGACTAAGGCTGGATTCATACTAGCATTGCTAGTGCATTTTGATGATACAATGGATAAGATTCAAGCTCTGAACGAGGGGTTTTTCAACCCCCCTGTATGAGCAGAAAAGTCAAAGGAACCATACCTGTACATGCAACCCTCCAAGATGTCGCCTCCAAAGGTCAGTTTTTAACACATATCAGTATATCGCCTATTCTCCAGGCTCAGTGTTGTCAAGGCTTGCTATTGCCTGCCTTAACTGACATTCCATATGTAGTCATGTGTTATGGTGCTAACACTTGCATATCAGTGTCCAGATGGAAAAACCCCCACACCCCCTAAAACTATATAACATCAAGTACTCCACAAACAGTCAAATGAGTTGCTCAGAGTCAGCATAGTCACTTAGGCTAGTTAGTTAAATGCAATAGTCATAGCGGAGCAATCTCATGAGCCCAATTTTGGGGGGCTGTATCTCACAAAAGATTGCTTGTAGAAGTATAGTTTCTTTGACTTATTTGCTCCTATAGGTATGCTCTAAAGCTCCAATAAGGTCCCAAACATCTCATTCAGAGCTTGAATTGAGCCTCCAATAAGAGTTTCATAAACAAACAATTTGACACCTAAACGCTAATTCCAGCAATAAAATGACCAAATAAACTGTCAAATTGTTTATTTAGTATATTGTTCCAGTATTTTATGTCCGAGAGTTTCATAGCAACTTCATTGTTTTATCATTTACGGATTCCATTTAGTCGAGCATGACATTTGCCGATTGCCTGGCCAACTCCACCTGTAGTCAATTTGGCAAAGTTCATCTCATCATAACATATATTCATCACTCAACCAATGTCACTACACATTCCAAAAACATGCTACGTCTCGATATGTCATTCTTTGTTTATCTCTATTCAGATTGACAAAGTTCTTCAGTAAAACATGTCCTAATAGCAATATGGAATGCATGACAGCAGTCACCTAAGTGTGAATGAATATTTGATTTATTGTGCCAGTAGTATATCCAAAACCGGTTTTTTGCACCATCAAATACTAAGTCACTCCCCGCATTAGGCCGGATTCACACCAGCACTGCCAGTGCTAGTGTAAATCCAGTCTAATGCGAGAAGTAACTCAGTATTGCAAATTTTCTGTATTTCACTACAAGTGCAGGTTTTTGAGTATTCAAAAAGTTTGGTCTTCTTTTAAACAGCTCTAGCATAAGCAAAAATCCAATATTTTACAATATATTGAATTTTTGTTTATTATTTATTATTATTTTCTCAGTTCTACAATCTTATCTACATTGTTAGTGAAATAATTAATTTAATTCTAACAAAAAACATCATTTTTAATCATTTAAAACTTTTTATCTTAAAATATTCATTAAACAATAACATCATTCATAAATGCGAGTTTAAAATTTGAAACAAAGAAACTCGTTCAAAAATCAATAACTACATAACATTAGAAAATGGCGACCAAATATCAGCCCTCATAGGAACAAAGACCTCCTATGTTGTTTACCCTTAATCACGTTTTCCTTATATTTCTATAGCTTGATTATTATATTATAACCAATATAAAATAAGCATTAAATGATAACACTTCTGTTTAACAAAGCCATTCAATAAAACATCAGACAGTTTATTCATTTACCTTCTCTCTCAAATTCAGGACATACTCTACTCGTAGAAGAACGAGCTGATTGGTTAACAGACATAAAATATAAAAAAAAGAAAAAATTGAACATTTAAATTCTATAAACTTATTGCTTATTATTTCAAAGTAACCTCTAACAAACATTTATTTAAATACATTCTAATATTCGTTTTTATTTTGAGAAAACTTTTTAAATTAAAACTGAATAACAACATCAGATGTCGCTAGAAACATTTTATATATCTTGAGGCGTTAATTGTACCTGAAAGGCTAGAGTCTCCATATTAATAAGATAGAAAGAAAGAAAGAAAGATTGTACCTGAATCGATATATATTTTGTCCTTGCGCTATAATCTGAAGTAAGCCAGAATCTCCATATTAGAGAAGAAAAACAGAAAAAAAAAGATACTCTGAAGTACAGTTAGTGTGTCAGGTTGCCGATAGCTGGCGTTAGAGTCGCTCTTAGGCAAGAAGTTTGTTTATCTATTTGGTTAGTAGGTAGTTTTACAGTTTTCAAGCATTTTTGTAACTTTTTTCTACTGTTTTGTCAAAAAAATCTTAAGCTTAGTTCACACTAAGCGCGATTCGGTGGCGAAAGCGAAAAACATAGCGAACAACACGTCAGACACGACGTCATTTCCGGCAAATTTTACCATTTCGCGAATCGCTTCGAACTTCGGAACTGTCGAGCTTTTTCGCTAGCGAAAATTTTCGCGACCAATCGTATTCCCGTTAGTTGTCACGTTGTTCTTGTTTACAAGATGTCTACAGAAACTTTCTCACGCAATAGAGTAAATGTTGTAATTACGGATTTTTAATACTGTATTACTCTCACCCAGCATCGTTTTCTTTTTGACGTATCTTTCTTTCTCAATAAATAAACAAAACGTGGTTAACGACGGAATATCGGAAGCGGCCATTTTTTTTCCAGATGACGTTTTCTCTCGCTTGCTGCTTAAAATTAATTATCACTTTTCGCTTTTCTCATTCGCTTTCGCTATTCGCTCAGTGTGAACTAAGCTTTATTCGTAATTACATTTTTTAATTTTATATCATGTATAAAGAAAGAAAAAGTATATTTGGTTTATGAAAAATTAGTAAGATAATAATTTGAAATAACAGATGAAGATGTGGATAAATCGAAAGTAATTATATTTTCGATTTAATTTATCCAGGTTTTAAATAAAGATCTGTTTAAAACTGTTATATTGCTACACATTGTGAATGAAAGTTTTGTACACAATTTTCTGAGTATAAAATATCTGTTCAATGCATATGTAATGGTAAAATAAGTAAATAAATTTCCATTTTCCTGTTTTATTTTATTACATGTATATGACAATATAATTAGGAAAACCATAGCTTATCTTCCGATACATTTAAATAGTCATAGAAATTTAATCCACATAAAGACAATCTATTTTTTTAAAATAATTTATTAACTCTAACACTACATAAAGTGTGCTATACAATTTTACTTGATTCAGTATAGTGAGAAATAGTATTTGAGATGAAATAGTTTTGTATTTTTGACATGAGAAATTACATTTCTTATGACACTCACATTGGCTCTACATAGTTTGGTAATTTATATAATATTCTGCACTATCAAAAGTAGAATATGAATGAAGATTTATTGATGGCCAACTACACCTGTCCTATGTTTATATAGGTTTTATATATCACTAACATGTCTTTCTTTTAGCCTCTAACATCACAAATCACTATCACTGTCAATATCTAATAAAAGTTTCTGAACTCTTACCATTTTACATTTACCTATTTTATTTGTCAATCTCTAACTCATTATCCATTAATTACTTCTAAGTTATTATGTGTCTGTAAATATGTTGAATATGTTGTCTAAATAGTTGGAATTTCCTCTTTTTCCTCTTTGTTTTTTGTAAACTCTTTTCGCCCTGTGGGCACTAAAAGGGCCTCCATTAGCAAGCCCATTATGAGTTCGAGTCAGGCCCACAATAGGGCGGCCGGGTAGTGAGGGACGGGGCTCGAACATATCCGGACGGACCACCCCCGAAAATTATCTGGGGATTTATCGACCACATCCGGATTCGAGCCCGGGTCTCTCAGAGCGGTAGACTGCCACCTTGACCTCTTGGCCATCTAGCCCCTCTTTTTCCTCTAACAGCCTATACAGTATTTGAAATCCAAGAACTAAATCTACTGACTTTTTAATCCCCTTCTCTAACCTGTTCCTAACTTTTTTTGGATCAACTTTAATCTCTCTCTATCATTAATAAACACAATGTAAATTGTGAATAACATATGAGCCGTTCACAGGTCAAATCGATTAACTCCATTTGTAAATCCTTAATACAATTGTTATTATTTTTAAATTTTTCGCGTAACTAATTTATATAGCGTCATGTTAAAGCTATGCTTTAATATAACGATATATAATATAATAATACATTTTGCATTGTTTATTTAAATTTAAAGTTTAAAAGAAATTAAAAATAAATAAATAATTTATATTCTCAATTTTTATGAATATTACGAGGTCTCTGTAAGTCCGCACGAAAAATATAAATTTTAAAGCAGATAAAACAGAACAACTTATAATAATTGAAAAGCAAAATTTGGAACAAAAGTTAAAAAAACAAATTAATACAGACATATATCAGAAATTAGATAATAACCCATATGAAAAAATAAAAAGGGAACTTATCAAAATAATAAAGAATACATATTCTGATAATAATACTAATGAAGAAAGTAAAAATAAAATATTAAACTTTAATAATAATAGAATTCCTAAATTAAATATTCGCCTAAAGACGCATAAACAATTAGAACAATACAGGCCTTTGGCAGATTTTCGCTACTCAATTCTATATAATTTAGAAACTTATATTAAAAAACAATTAAATCATATTAATAATTCTAATAGTAGTATTAAAAATACTGATGAATTGATTAATGCCTTTTATAAAATTAAATTACAGAGTACTGACACTATTATGAGCTTAGATGTTAAAAATATGTACCCTAATATAAAATGGGAATTGGTAGAACAAAGTTTAATAGATAATAATGTTAAACCAGCATTAATAAAGTTAATTAAATTTGCGTATAGAAATAATTACTTTGAAATACATAATGAATATTATAGGCAAATAGATGGTATTAGTATGGGGTCAAGGATGGGGCCAAAACTGGCAGAATTAACTATGACAAAAATTGATGAAAAAATACAAAATATACAAGGTATCAGAATGGTAAAAAGATACGTAGATGATTATTTAATAATATTTAACAATAAAATAATAAATGAAAATGAAATTTTAAAAATAGTTAATAAAATAAATCATCATATAATTTTTGAAATGGAATTAGAAAAAAATAAAAGGATTAATTACTTAGATATAACAATAATTAAAGGAAAAGAAGAATAATTATTTACAACATATAAAAAATTTCCGAATATTGAAAAAACTATGAATTATCATTCGAGTACTCCAATTGATATAAAAAAGAACGTCTATTTAATGGAAATAAGAAAAATATATAGTAGAGTTACTAATAATAGCGACCAGACTATTGCAATTAATAAACTTAATCAGAAATTTGCCTTTAATAATTACCGTAGTTATATTTTTAAAAAATGGTATAGTAAATGGGAAAAAAATAAATTTAATACTAAACAGAATAAAAANCAGAAGTTTATATAGGTGAAACAGGTCGTAAATTAGAAAAACGTATTAAAGAACAAGAAGCCGCTATTCGGTTAAAAAATAGTAATTCTCCTTGGTATAATCATGTAATTCAGAATAATAATTGTAAATTGGATAAAAATAGTGTACAAATATTGCATAATGAAAGGGATATTTATAAGAGAAAATTTAAAGAACATGTTGAAATAATGAAATATAATAATAAAAATAGCAATCAATTAATAAATGTTTCCAGTGGAATGCAAATAGATCAACGATGGTATCCAGTAATAGAAATTAAAAGATGACGTCATGAGGTAGAATAGTCAATAGGGGAAGTGTTATTCAGAATTGTTCCGATAACGGACCGTTGAACAGTTGTCTTCGGTATGTTTTATCGTATGCAATGGATGTGTATAGTTCATGGGCTATCACCGTATAGAATAATACAAACAGTATGTGTCTTAAAAATTAATTTTTATACGTTATTGTTTGTTTAACTTCCACTTTTTAAAATTTTGTTAGAAGATAGGTTTTAAAATTTCTTAAAAATAATTTAAAAATTTGTCTTATTAGGTATACTTATAGGTAAAGATCTAATTTAGAATAATATTTATTGCAGTAATTTAGAAACAGAACCATAGGTAGTCAAAAAAGATATTTAATACACTTGATATGAAAGTGTTAATGGAATGTATAATCAAAGCTGTGTGTTCTAAATGGTAATGTAAAACTAAAGTGTTAATTGTTATATTGATATTTTTACTCGTAAAAGGGTTTATTAAAAATGTTTATATTTTATAGTACTGACGAGGGTCCTTTAATAGGACCGAAATGCATCTACAGTAATTAAATAAAGAGAAGTCATTAGCTAAAAGCTGTGTGTTGGTCTACCGCTAAACTTAAAATTTATATTTTTCGTGCGGACTTACAGAGATCTTGTAATATTCATATATTAACAGCAGTCATAAGAAATTTAATTCAATTTTTATGCTTTCTGTTTTGTGGAGTTACTCGATTTGGCAAGTGAGCGGCTCATATATCATAGCTCCTTTCTCAATGCAAACTACAATAATTCACCTAACATTAATTTAAAATAAATAAATAAATAAATAAAAGATATGGGCTTAACCTTGATAAACTCCAAAATCCACCCTAAATCCTAAATCTTCTGTTTTGTAACATTTTAAATCTATCCTGTCTTAACACATGGTTTAACATTTCTATATATTTCCATAATTTAATGTATATAATTTTCATCAACCTCTTTTCTTCCTGATTCAGAGCGTTCTCAATGCATCCCATATTAATAATGTATTGTACAGGCTTAACTATAATTTTTTTTTATTGTCTTTCCTTATCCTTAATGAAAACGCCCAAAAATATTTAAAATGAACATAAATTGGAAGC